AAGGTGGCCCTGTTGGTGTCAGCAACGATTTTGCAGCCCCGGAAACCCCACGCAGGGTGGCTGTGAGTTGGGGCCCACTTGATGACAGTGGGTTTGGTTGGTTTTGGGTTAGTAAATTTAAAAACAAACAAACTTAATTTTACTCCACTGGCTTCAGCAAGTTCTTCTAATTTTAAAAGATTACTAGTTTTTAAATAGTTACTGTACCTTAGTGATTTTAATATTACTGAGTAGTCTAAAAGGTCACTGTAAAATAATTTTTAATCATCTCACTTGATTAAAAATTTTATTTAGTAGCAATAAAACAGGTTAACCAGCCTTAAATGATATAATTCTATCAATTACTTATTTTATATTTTTGTTACACTTTCTAGTTCTTATCCAATACCTGTCTTTTCTTTTTGTTTCAGAACCCTTTTAGTATCTTTATCATTAAGCGGTGAAGCTTCTCTATTCACTATCTCCTGAAACTATGTTTTCACTGTTTCTTGTTTTCTTACATTTTTCCTTTCAGTTCTCTCCCTTTCTAGACCTCTCTCTCATTCTCATAATTAATGTTAAGAGCTTTTCCGGCCTCCATCCTTTCTTGTCTTATTCTCTTTTTTCCTCAACTCACCTTTATGAGCTTTACTGCTGCTGAGACTGAACTGTTAGCAGCATGGTTTCCTCCAGATGGCCAGGATCCCACGCCCATTCACTGACCATCTGGAGTTCTTCAAGGCCCACCTGGTGCATTCTGCTGGTTTCCCATGTACTTGGCACCAGAATACAACAGTGCTTCCAAAAGTTCATGGAAAAACTCCACTATCTTTCAACTCCATTTTTCCATGAATTTTTTGAAGCCCCCTGGCATGAGAGTAGCTCATGAGCTCATTTGGTCTTTTTGTCTCCAGCCATGTACTTAGGACATAGGAGAACAAGAGAAGCTCTGTGTCATCTTCGCTTCTACTGTAATTTTCCATTACTCTTATTTCAGGAAATGTATTTCAGGAACTTAGGAGCCCTGATAATACAATTCTAACCAAAAAGTGGATTTTCAAATCCATCATCTGCTATTTTTTTTTAAAGCCATGTACTATTCCCTGTTCTATTTGTACACCTGCCTCCTGATCCAGGTAAAGGTTCCACATGAGCACAATGAAATAGTCTGGAATTCCCATTCTTCTCAAGGTGTACCGGAATTTATGATCTGCACATTCAAATGCCCTGACATAATAATAAAAAAAAAAGGAAACAACTTTCTGTATTCTGTACTTTCCGCCAAGATCCATCTGATATCAGCAAGGATAACCCTTCTGAATTTGGCCTGAGCCTCTGGAAGCTCCCTGTTAATGTATTGCTGCAACCATTGGGTGATCTTCAGCAAAATTTGACTTGTATGTGATATCCATGATGCTCTTTGATAATTTGAGCATTTTGTTGGATTGCTTTTCTTTGGAATGGGTATAAACATGGAGATTTGCCAATCGGTTCGCCAAGGAGCTGTCTGTCTCCCAAGTTTCTTGGTGCAGGTGAGGGAGTGCTTCTAGTGCTTCATCAGCTTGTTGAAACATTGCAGTTGGTAGTCTGTCAATTCTGGAGCCTCGTTTTGGGCTAACGTTTTCAGTGCAGCTGGGACTTCTTCCTTCAGTACCACTGGTTCTTGATCAGATGCTCCTTCTTGAACCTGTTGAATGTAGACTCGTTCTTGTTAGTACAGTGTTTCTGTGCAGTCTTTGCGTCTTCTTTTGAGGCCTTCTGAATCTTTCAATATCGGAACTCAAAGCTTCAATTTTTTTTCTGAGTGCTTTCAGTGTAAGTCAACATATGCTAGCGTGTTCTTCCTTTTTGCATTTCTCACTCTAGGTCTTTGTACATTTCATTATAATGTTTTACTTTGTCTTCTCAAGCTGCCCTTTGAAATTTTTCATCTAGCTCGTTGACTTCATCATCTCTTCTATTTGCCTTTGTCACTCTACAATTAAGAGCAAGTTTCAGAGTCTCTTCTGACAGCCATTTTGATCTTTTCTTTCTTTCTAATGACCTTTTTCTTTCTTCATGTGTGATGTTCTTGATGTCATTCCACAGCTCCTTGGGTCTTCTGTCATTAGTGTTCAATGCATCAAACCTGTTCTTGAGATGTTCTCCAAGTTCAGGTGGGATAAGCTCAAGATTGTATTTTGGCTCTCTTGGAATTGTTTGAATTGTCTTCAGTTTCAGCATGAGCTTACCTAGGAGCAACTGGTTGTCTATCCACAATCGGACCCTTGCCTGGTTTTAGTTGCTGATATTGAGTTTCTCTATCGTCTCTTCCGACAGATGTAGTCAGTTTGGTTTCTGTGTATTCCACCTGGAGAAGTGCATGTGTATAGTCAAGATTGTATTGTTGAAAAATCTATTTGCATTGGTCTTGCAAAATTCTATCATGTGATCTGCAGCTTCAATTTTATCACCAAGACCATCTTTTCCAACTACTGTTCCTTCCTGGAGCCCTGGGGACATAGTGGTTATGCATTGGGCTGCTAACTTTCAGGTCAGCAGTTCGAAATCACCATCCTCTCTATGGGAGAGAAATAGGGCTTTCTACGCCTGTAAATAATTACAGTTTCAGAAACTCACAGGGGCAGTTCTACCTGATCCTACAGGATCATTATGAGTTGGCATTGCCTTGATGCCATTGAGTTTGGTTTAGTTCCTTCTTTGTCTCCAACTTTTGCACTTCAATCACCAATAATTATCAAATTATCTTGACTGCATATTTGATCAATTTCAGAACAAAGATGTTGATAGATTCTTCATTTTCTTCATCACTAGACTTAGTGGTTGGCACATACATTTGAATCATAGTGTCTTGATTGGATTTTTTGTATGTGGGCAGACATTATCTTTTGATAGACAGCATTGTACTTCAAGCTAGATCTTGAAATGTCCTTTTTGACGATGAGTGTGGTGCCACTCCTCTTGAACCCTTCATTCCTGGTATGGTATAGTAGATTACGTGATGCTGATCCAAAATAATGAATACTGACTACTTCAGCTCACAATGACGAGAATATCCATCTGTGACACATTCTAGTGGTTAGCAGCATTGGGCTGCTAACTACAAGGTCAGCAGTTTGAAGCCACCAGCCACTCTGAGGGAGAAAGACAAGGCTTTCTACTCCAGCAAAGAGTTATAGTCTTGGAAACTCACAGGGCATTACTGCCCTGCCCTATAGGGTCCCTATGAGTCCGAATCAACTCAATGTCAGTGAGTTGAATTGAGTTAAGGTTTTACTCTCATGAAGAGTTACAGTCTTGGAGAGCCACAGGGGCAGCTCTAGTCTGTCCTTTTAGAGTTGATATGAGTAAGATTTGACTCCATGGCAGTGTGTTTGAGGTTTGTGAAAGCCTGCAGTGTACAGGTCCCAGGTGTCAGTTTGTCAAACCGAGGTAGCTTGTGTGTTGCTATGATGCCAGAAGTGAAATCACTGGTATTCCAAATACCAGCAGGGTCACCCACAGTGAACAGGTTTCAGCAAAGCATCCAGACTACGAAGAAGGAATAGGCTGTCCATTTCTGAGAAATTAGCCACTGAAAACCTTATGAACAATATTGAAACATTGTCAGATACTGAAAACCTCATTAATAGAAGCAGAGCATCATCAAAGATAGTGCCAGAAGATGAACCCCTTCAGGTAGGAAGACACTCAAAATATGATGGAGGGAGAGCTGCCTTCTCAAAGTGGAGTTGACTATGATTTGGATGGAGTAAGGCCTTCATCTGCTGATAGGGCATGGCTCAAAATGAGAAATAGCTGTAAACTTCAATTAATAATCAGAACTTGGAATGTTCTGGAAATAGGAACATTGGAAGTTGTAAAAAATGAAATGAAACACATAGAGATTGACATTCTCGGCATTAGTGAACTGAAATGGACTGATATTGGCCATTTTGAGTCAGAAAATGATCTCATTTACTATGGCAGCAGTGGGAGAGTTAAGAGAAGTGGCATCACATTTAACGTCAACAAGGACATTTCATGATCTTTCTTGACGTTCAATGCTATCTGTGATAGGATATCCGTATACAACAAAATCTAGTTAATACAAGTATTACTCAAGGGAATGCACCAACCACTATAGCTAGTGATGAGCAAACTGAAGAATTCTACCTGTGTCTTCAGTCTGAAATTGATCAGCCATGCCATCAAGATGCATTGATCATTACTGGAGACTGGAATGCAAAAATTGGAAGGACATCAGGTTTGGTAAAGTGAAAGGGCAGCCCCAAAGACAACGATCCTCGACAGAAGGGACTGACAGTGGCTGCAACAATGGGCTGAAACAAAGGAGCAGTGGTGAGGATGGTGCAGGCTGGGCAGTGTTTTGTTCTGTTGTGCAGAGTCGCTATGAGTCAGGGTCAACTGGAGGGCACTTAGTAGCAACAACAATTTACAATGATAGCTCCAAATCCATTTTGAGTTTCCACGTTTTCTTTCTGAATATCGACTGGCAATGGTAAAAATTTTGTCTTCAAGCAGAGTGTATTTGTTGTGATCCCCTGGCCAGTCAGGGAGGGGCAGTTAGCCCAGGAACTTGCTTGGGCATTCCCTTGATGGAAATTGGGGTGCTAAGGACTCATGGTTATGAGCCATGCTCTGAGCAAGGTGATGGGAGGGCCTCACAACCAACCCCGTAAACTTTTCTGATTTACAGGAGTGTATTTATCCCAGTCATGGGCCCTTTTTCTGTCTTTGGCTGTGATGAATCGATGTGATGCTTACCATGATTTTGTGACAATGTCCTTTGTTCACATACCTTATTTAAGTGGCCATATGCCTGGTGTCTGAATCCTTTGAATACCATTATGACAGATGGCGATGATCTCCCTTATTCAGATGATTCATTTCTTCCCTTCTTGTCTTGTCTTTGTTCTGTTTAAGGGTTATTAAAAGAGCCTCTATAAGATATATTTGAATTTGATCTCTTTCTTCTCTAGGCCATGCTCTAATCTGTTGACAACTTTTTTCACCCCCAGAGAGATTGGAACAATTATCAGGTCATTGGGATGCTGCCCAAGTGAAGGAGAGCTGCATGACCTGATTGCAGATGTACGTAAGTAGGACTCTTAAGAACGTTTTATTCATCAGATTCTCTAGGCATTGATTCAAAGGACCCTGTGTGACATCTTTCAATTAAAAATTCTCACATTAAAGTAATAATGCCCTCTAGAGCTGAATGTGCTCAATGAAAATATTAGGGGAGCTATGCAAGTTAGCTAGGCAACAAGATCTGAAAGAATTGAGAGCCAATCTTAAAGAAATGACTACAAACAAGTACTGTATATGCTCATATATAAGCCGAGTCTTTCAGCACATTTTAAAAAATAATTATTTTATTGGGGGCTCATACAATTCTTAATCCAATCCATACATACATCCATTGTGTCAAGCACATATGTACATTTGCTGCCCTCCTCATTCTCAAAACATTTGCCTTCTACTCTAGCCCCTAATATCAGCCGCCCATTTTCCCCTTCCATCCCCCCTCCCCCCTCCCTCATGAACCCTCCATAAATCACAAATCATTATTGTTTTGTCATAAGTTACACTGTCTGACGTCTCCCCTCGCCTTCTTCTCTGCTGTCCATTCCCCAGGGAGGAGGCTATACGTAGATTCTTGTAACCGGTTCCCCCTTTCTACCCCACCTTCCCTCCACCCTCCAGGCATGGCCCCTCTCACTACTGGTCCTGAAGGAGTCATCTGTCCTGGATTCCCTGTGTTTCCAGTTGCTATCTGTACCAATGTACATCCTCTGGTCTAGCCAGACTTGTAAGGTAGAATGGGATCATGATAGTGGGGGGAGGAAGCATTCAAGAACTAGAGGAAAGTTATATGTTTCATCGTTGCTACCCTGCACCCTGATTGGTTCATCTCCTCCCCACAACCCTTCAGTAAGTTGCCTACCGATGGGCTTTGAGTCTTCACTCTGCACTCACCCACCTTTACAATGATATGATTTTTTGTTATTTGATGCTTGATACCTGATCCCTTCGACAGCTCATAGTCACACAGGCTGGTGTGCTTCTTCCATGTGGGCTTTGTTGCTTCTGAGCTAGTTGGCCGCTTGTTTATCTTCAAGCCTTTAAGACCCCAGATGCTATATCTTGATAGTTGGGCACCATCAGCTTTCTTCACCACATTTGCTTATGCACATGTTTGTCTTCAGTGGTTATGTCAGTAAAGCGGTCACCCACTGATACGATTTTCAGTTCTTTGATGTCTGATAACTGATCCCTTCTACACCGTGTGGTCAGGAAGGCTGGTGTGCTTCTTCCATGTGGGCTTTGATGCTTCTCAGCTGGATGGCCGCTTGTTTGTCTTCAAGCCTTTAAGACCCCAGACACTATATCTTTTGGTAGCTGGGCCTCATCAGCTTTCTTCACCACATTTGCTTATGTTCACCTTTTTGTTCAGCAATCGCATCGGTAAGGTGTGCATGCTGGAATGCCAATTTAATAGAACAACGTGTTCTTGCATTGAGTAAGTGCTTGAGTGGAGGCCCAATGTCCATCTTCTGCCTTAATACTAAACCTATAAAAATATGCACATAGCTGTTTCCCCACACTCTTATATAAATATATTTACATATGTACATTCCAGTCTTAAAACCTCTATAAATACCCTTTGCCACCTAGTTCTTTCCTTTATTTCCTTTTACTTTCCTCTTGTCCCACTATCATGCTCAGCCTTCATTTGGGTTTCAGTGACCTTTCTTGGTTACATTGCCCTTGCTGGATCCCTACCAGGCCTCTCACAGCCTCCTGGCCACTGTTTTTGGATCACTTGTTGCTCCCCTGTCCCTAGGTTTGTCAGCACCACCTCCTTAGCCCCGCCTCCTCCTCTCCCGTGTCCCCCCGGGAACCACTGGTCCCGTTGTTTTTTCCTCCAGACTATTCATCCAGTCTATCTTATCTAGATAGATCTACAGAGATAATAATATGCATAAAAAACTAAGCCATCGCAAGGTAGGCAATCAGTGAGAACACAGTGATGGCAACAAAAAAGGAAATCAATTACCCATAGAAGAATAAATTAGAATGGGTAGGAAGGAGGGAACCGATTACATGGAATTGTGTGTGACCTCCTCCCTGGGGGACAGACAACCGAAAAGTGGATGAAGGGAGACGTCGGACAGGGCAAGATATGACAAAATACCCATTTATAAACTATCAAGGGCTCATGTGGGAGGGGGGAGCGGGGAGAGGGGAAAAATGAGGACCTAATGTCGGGGGTTTAAATGGAGAGAAAATGTTTTGAGAAACGATGTACAAATGCGCTTTACACAATTGGTGTGTGTATGGATTGGGATAACAATTGTATGAGCCCCTAATAAAATGTTAAAAAAGAAAAAAAAAAAAAGTAAAGGGAGGGAAGTCTCTTTCTATTCCAAATTAAAAAAAAAAAAAGAAGAATAAATTAATTAAAAGAAAAAAATTTTAAAAAGAAATAAAAACCTGTAAATAGATCAAGGTCTGATTTTTGATCTCTAGGCGTGTCCTTCAGTCAGGTCGGATGGGGTACCATGCTCTGACCCCAGACTCTGTCCTTTGTACTCCCTCGGGGGCTCTCTGCTCTGCTCCCAAGGTTGCTCTGCCGCACGCCTTTAGTAGTTTGCCTCGGTGTCTCAGGGTCAGTCTGGCTCACTCCCAACACTGAGTCTCCAGTGTTGTCCCCATAGAGCTCTGGGCCACCAAGGGGCGGCGTGTCTCATGGTGGGATCAGCCATGTTGTTCACTCTGTCCATTGGTTGTTCAGAGCGGGGATGTCATCCTCCAGGCCTGGTGGGTCAGGATGTGCTCCATTCTCTCTTCCTCCCCCTAATTGCTCCCATTTGCTCTGATCAGACATGCCCCTCTCCCCTAGCTGCAGCTTCAGTGCCTTCCTCTCAAGTAAATTCTTCTAGGGGGAGGGGCTGTTGTCCATGTAGCTGGTATGGAGGCCGAGCCCTCAGGCCCCTCCACTGGCTCCCCACTCCTTGCCAGCAAGCTGCATTCGTCTGGCACTGGCTTTAAATTTGGTCCCTCTTTCCCTGTGGAGACATAAACAATATCCTTCCCTTGGGTGGGTCAGTGCCCTATTCCCCTATCACATATCCTTCCCCCCTCTTGTACTTTGCTACCCTATGTGCCCCTGGATTTGGTGTGGCACCTGCCATACTACCTGGACCTCACCCCTGGAGTGTTTGTATACAATAGCTTTTTCCCTATGCCCCTTTTTCATTTACCTTTCTGTTCTTTCTTTTTTATATATATAAACGTACCTCAGCGGACTCATGTTATACTTGTCCTTTTCTGCTTGGCTTACTTCACTTAGCATTATTTCCTCTAATTCTTCCCATGCAGCGATATGCTTCATGCGTTCATCATTGCTTTTTAGTGATGCATAGTACTCCATTGTATGTATGTACCACAGTTTTTAAATCCATTCATCTGTTGATGGAAATTTGGGTTGCTTCCAACTCCTTGTGATTGTGAACTGTGCCGCAATGAACATTGGAGCACAGATGTCTGGCCGTGGTTTGTTTCTTGCCTCTTTTGGGTATATGCCCAGTAGGGAGATTGCTGGGTTGTATGGTAACACAATTTCCATCTGTTTGAGAAATCGCCAAATCGATTTCCATAGTGGCTGTACATACCTACAGGTCCACCAGCAGTGGATGAGAGTTCCTATCTCACCACAGCCCCTCCAACACTTGTTGTTTTCTGATTTTTTTGAATTGGGCTATCTTTGAGGGTGTTAGGTGGTATCTATCTCATAGTTGTTTTGATTTGCATTTCTCTTATGGCTAATGATTGGGAACATTTTCTCATATGTTTATTGGCCATTCGGATTTCAGACTCTGAAACTTCTGTTCAGGTCCTTTTCCCACCCCCTCAGTGGGCAGTTAGTTTTTCTCTTACTGTAAGCTTGAAAGGTATTGTAGATTTTAGTAATAAGGCCTTTGTCTGATGTGTCATTGCTAAAGATGTTTTCCCAGTCTGTGGACTTGCTTATTACTCTCTTGGTGAATTCTTTCGATGTACACGGGTGTCTTATCTTCAGTATGTCCCACTTGTCTATTTGTGACTCCTCTATGTTTGTATCCTTCCCTATTTCTGATAGCCCATGTATTCCCTGTGCCAAGGTTCTCAGGTTTGTCCCAATTCCCTCACTAATGGCCCTCATTGTTTGGAGTTTTATCTCAAGGTTTGTGATCCACCTTGAGTTTATTCTTGTGCATGGAGTGAGGTAAGGGTCTTGCTTCATTTTTCTGTAGGTAGATATCCATTTTTTCCAGTACCATTTATTGAAGATGGAATCTGCTTCCCATTTAATATTTTTTGGGCCCTTATCAAAGATCAGTTGCCTATATGCTGATGTTTTTATTTCTGGGTCTTCAGCTCTTTTCCATTGGTCTGAATATCTGTCATTATGCCAGTACCACACTGTTTTGACTACTGTGGCCATATAGTATGTGCTAAAGTCAGGTAGAGCAAGCCCTCCCACTTTGTCCTCCTTCTTGAGGAGTTCTCTGCTAATTCTGGACTTCTTCCCCCTCCATATGAAGTTAGTAATCTGTTTTTGCAATTCTTTGAAGAAGGATGGTGGTATTCGTATTGGGATAGCAAGTGCCTTGGGCCGAACTGACATCTTTGCTATATTGAGTCTGCCAATTCACGAGCATGGGATATTCTTCCATTTGTTGAGGTCACTCTTGATTTCTTGAAGTAGTGTTTTATAATTTTCCTCATACAAATCTTTCATGTTTTTAGTCAGGTATATCCCTAGGTATTTCAATTTGTTTCAGCACATTTTTAAGGCAGTTTTTGTGGTAAAATTAGGTGCTTCAGCCAATATTCGGGTCGGCTTATACTTGAGTATATATACTAAGACAATGGCTCAAGTAAAGGTCCCACTGTAGATACTACTATCTTTTAAAATTAATTGAGGAAAGGTTAATAGGCAGAAGTGTTTATTGCATGCAAAAAGAATATGAGAGATTGAGGAAATGCTGTGGGGGCAGTCTGACCTCCTCCTCTATACAGAGCACACGTAGGATCCAACTGCA